ATTTGCATCAATTTTCCCACCCGCCTAGGCAGTTTATGAAGATAAATGTACAACGCAGCTGTCGCCGTCAAATCAAAGCAGAGAAACGCCAAATCCTCAAAAATGCAAAATATTGAATGTTTGCTCAACAAATGAACCTTCAATTGGATTAATTATGAACACATTTGCTTAATGTTTGAAGATAATTTTTTGACAAATTTGGGTAGCCGTACCGAATTAATGGGGATAGGTGATTTCATAAATTACCTGCCCCGCTTTTGCACTACAAACAATAAATAACTGATTGTTTGCGCTTATCGATTGGATTGTGAAATTCTCTCGCATTTCGCAACAAACACTATTGCAGTGACTAAGAGCATTCTGTCACACATCAATAAATCTATTAATGAATGAATTGCTCCACTACCCACGACGAGGCTAAAAACAAAGCGCAAATATTTGCATATTTATTTCAAAATGATATTTACGAGTCCGAGTCCAATCAATTAACGCATTAACATGGTTTTATTATGTATCACATTCAAATTGGGCAAATCGGCGGTAGCCAGTGCGAAACTCGTTCTCGGCGCCATTACCAAAAAAAGCGAAAAGCACACAGGTTTTCTACGTGGGCGATCCCATCCAATACAATCCGATCGCAAAGTGAGTGAGCAGTGAGATTTGCGGCTCGTTAAGTATTATAACTTAATTAGCTGCATAGCGATTTGGGGAGATGCTTGAAAGGAAACCAAATATTTTCGTTTCGTTGCTTTTTGTTAAGTGTTTACGGTAAATATTTAGCTGTATATTTTTGGGCCATTGCATAACTTGTTTTGTTTGCAATTCGCGTTCAAAGAGTGCAAAAATAGTTTGGGTTTTCTTTCGCGGGGGGCTTTTGTTATTGAAATTGCCTGATTAGTGCGTTAAGCACTTTTACTTTTTTTCGAAACAAAGACAATGCCCCTTGTTATGTAAATTGATTTTAAATTTCTCAGTTTTATAGGCCTGAGGCTTGGATTTAGCCAACTATATTTTTAGCCTAGGCCTAATGGTTTGATTAATCAAGCTCATCTGGAAGATGCATTAAAAGCGGAGAGAAATTAATTGGGGCGCATCAAGGTTCGTCTATAAGAAATATAGAGGGAATATCTGTGGGATATGTTCGTTTTTGTGTAAACATTTGCATGCACATCAAAAGTAACTGTAACCGAATGTTTGCCTGGCCGGCAAAAAGTAACAAACAACCAACAGACAGGCAAAAGCAACAACAAAAGATCAAAATCATTTGAAAAATTGTTTGGCGAAATGGTAAGACCAAATCGAAGATGGAAAATGTGTGCAGCATGAGGGAAAAAAGTTGCCGAGTGGCCAGCGGAAGAAACGAACCAAGCAACGAACCACTCCCGGACCAATGCAGATGTTGCAGTTGCAGCGGCCGATGTTGCTGTTGCAGTTTCTAAATGCCGCCGCGCACCAATTCACCGACAGGCTGCAAAAGCTGCAAGCTGCAACAACGAGAATGCAAACTTTGCATAATTTATGGCAATCAATTTCGCGTGAACATCAACACGGTTGCAATGCAAAAAGATACAAAGCCGGGCTCTGAAAGCCAAGATGGCCAAGAAAATGGGGGAAAAAAACAGAAAAAAAATTGCGGCAATGGCAACGGACGACTGCAAGCCATCCGTCTATCGAATGCCACTATCAACTTATTTAGTTCTACTTAAATGTTTACTTTCATCAATTCGCAACGATTGCCGGCGGTGCAATGTCAATTGGCTGCGGATTGGATTGTCTGATGTTGCTTTTTGGTCACAAAACTGTAGCTGGTCAAGAGCAGACTAGTCGCCTCAACAGGATGCCCGTGCCCGTGCCGGCCATTGGAGATACATTCACTTTACCAAGACCGCTTAGTGGAACACTTTTAGAAACAAAAAAAAAAAAAAAAAAAAAAAAAAGAATAATCATGCAAAGGCAGCCGACTCTGTGGAGTACGATTTCGCCTGGCCCTAATCTAATTGCCATCGCCTAACCCAATTTCAGTTTTCAGTTCTCCAATTGCAATTTAGAACTTTCACTGGCAGCAACACCAAGAAAACAAAACCACCTACCACCAGCAATTGTCTTGCACTTTCGAGAGGATGGTTTTGAGGTCTCCTGGCTCAAAATACATATCATTTTACATAATAAATTTAATGCCAAAGAGTGCAACTAACAAATTGCAGCCAGCATGGCGATCCGATCCCCTTTGTCTTTGCTGACAGCTCGCAATTTGTAGAAAAATAGGAGCCGCAGAGGCAGGTGCCTGGTGCATTGTGTCTACTATAGTTATCAAATAAATACTAAGCACTCTACTCAACTCAACTCTACTCTACTCCCATTCTGCTTGAGTGCCGTCTACACTAGCACGGCGTTATGCATTCACCGTTGCTTTTGGCCCACTTACTAACAACACTTACTTACAAAAAGCAAAAAAAATAATACTGAAAAACTAAAAACCAAAAAAGAGAAACAAAAGTTAAACGAATAACCAAGTTTTTCCTGATTTATGTCCGAGCAAATTTTGTGTTGGCTTGGCGGTTTCCTTATACGACATGATTTAAGTGAATTATGTTGTGATTTTGATATACATTTTTAGCACTTGAGCCGTGACCGAATCAAAACGGTTCCTGACTGATTAAAACCCGGGATATGCAGAGGTTATCCGTTATTAATTTCTCCACTTTTATGTACACTTTCCCGGCTGATTAACCCCATCGGTGTGAGGTTCAAATCCGCCAACTTCTATATCTTGCAGCTGAACCGCATCGTTTACAGTTGGCATTCGTTGCACGCAACAGATGGAAATAGATGGGAAATTGTGAAAGAGTTTTAATCAAAGTGGGAACGCGCCAGCTTCTCCTCCGTTTGATATCTTTCTCGCGGCTGCCTTGACACGCAATTCAAGTGAGCAGCAGCCAGGGCCAAAAATAAATCTCGAAGAGATTCTTCATTTCGAAATATCTTTGGGGGGAAATTGGGGCCAAAAGCGTGGCGGTTCGAGATGAAAATCCAAGCGTGCACTTGACGCCGCTGAACCCACAAATTGATGGTGTCATTAGGCAGATATTGATTTGAATTTATTGGCAATTTAATTAACTCTAACCGAATGATCGGGGGCTGGCTTTCAATTATTTCTTTCCCCTTTTTTTATATCATCGATAGGAAAAGGAGTGAAGTGAAGTTCTGCTGCAGCCATTAATTGTCTGGCAGCTGGCGCATTACAATGCGGAAATGCAATCGAATCGAATGGATCCGAATGGAATGGAATCGAACGCACTTCACACGCAAATAAACAGGCCGTTGTTGGTCGGTTGGTTGGATGGTCTGGAGTTTATCTTCGGGATGCACGGCAGCAATTTATTCCACAGTGAATAGTGAATAGGGAACTGGGAACTGAGAATGGCGAGCAGTTATGCAAATCAGCAGGTAGTCTCCCCGGAAAGGTAGAAAAACAGACCCACAGGTCGGTCATTCACCGCCGCAAGTATCCATGAGATACGCGCAACTCGCATGCAATTTGCGGCATTAGAATATGCGCACATGAATAGATAGAAGAGTCAAGGATTCGACTGTTGTGTTGTGCGGCTCCAATGAATGGAAGAGATTTCCATTTAGCCGCAGCACTTTGTGCACTTTCATTAGACAACTGAAATATAATTGCAAGTAAGGGTAGCGACCGAGCGCCTTTGTTAGTGATGGGAAAGCTGGGGAAAATAATGGCAACAAATAACCGAATAATGCCCGTGAAACACAATAAACATACGAGCAAAGAAATGTGTAAATATCACTTAAAGAAACGAAAATGAAAGTGAAACCGTTTTCATTCATCCATTGAGACGGCAAAATATCTCAAAAAAATAGATGAGAAAGTTCAATACAAGTCGAGAAAGAGTTGTCAATTCATTCAGAAAAAACTGGGTGTCACATTGATTTCGATTTCAATTTTCATTTTCATTTCCCTTTTAATTTATGATCTGTGCACTTATCCATCTAGATGGCCGTGCACTTCACTACCAATGTCACCGCTTGATTGCATAATCATTTGACCGTCACTAATTCCTACGTAATTGGAAAGCCATAATGTCAAAGTCTTTGTGCCGGTCGTGCTTCGATGGGAGGCAAAGGCCCTCCTCCTCCATGCATCGCATCATATGCACCACATCTGTTGCAACTTATTAATTTTTGGGGCCAACAACCGTTCCGAGCCGCAAGCGAAATGCCCAAAAACACCAAAAGCACCCCACACAAAGCCGATTACACTCTTAAGTGTTGGGCCGAAGCTGAAACTAAACGCTATTAATTTTTACACACGGTTTCACTGCAGTTCGAATGCGTTTTTCATGAGCTCTCCGTCTCGGAATTTTATAGCTCCCAGCTAAGCTGCAGTGGCAATGGGTTTGGATTTTTTCAAATCAAGTCTGGTGTGGTCTGGGCCATTGTTTTGCAATTTTGTTTCATTTTAGCCCAGAGAGACAGAGGGGGATGCGGCCCCATGATGATGATAATGAATGATGAGCCGAACGAACGAGCGAGCAACCGCCACAATACCTATTGAGTAATTACAAAAATTTTAAAGTTTAATTAAAATTGTGTAAATAATCGTATTTGTTTGGCTTTGTTACCGTTGGCGGGTGTTACTCTTGCGAAAATGAAAGTGCCATCAAAATATGATGCTCAATTGTGGGAACAACAGCTGTCTTTTGACAGGCTCACCGGCTGCCACTCGAGCGATTTCAATAGCTCGACATGACGAGGCGATGTATCTGGATGGATCTTACAAGTAATTGCACGGAGAAAAGGTAGTTAACAAATTGATCATTGTATGCCAAAATATTTCTTATCTTTGACATACTACTTTTCGCAGAACGCTATCTTTTATCTGAGATTTCTTTTTATATGAACATAGAATTTATAGATTGATGCATTGATTCCCTATCCTTAAACGAATACACTTATTCCTGAAATTTTTCTTATCTTACCTTGTAAACCTCTGAGAAAAATCCCGATCCAATTTTCTCCTTGACGAAGTCATCCACGGAATATAATGCCGAGACGGCATGACGCAGCGCCCGACATGAGCTGCCGGTGACCAGGCGATCCGATGATATGGTCCGCGACACGGGCGCCGGCGGCAGACCCATCCCGATCCATCCGCCGTTGTGAAGCGGTTGATGTTTCACGGGAGCTTCTCCGATGGCCTCTCCATTGGATGTGGCTGTTGTGGCGGTGGAGCTGCACATACCCGCTGTGCTGGGCCAGACAAAGGGCGACGGGGCGGACATTGAGGAGTCCACCTGGTCCACCGATAATCCGCAGATCTCCGACGGCGGACCGGGGCCACTGTGCTGATTCAGGCTCATGTTTATCAGCTACGACGTATGTTGCTGTCGTATCCGGATGTGTGTGTAAAGTTGGTTTGCTTTCGGCTTTTGGCGTTTGGCGACCTTGCCTTGCCTGCTTGTGGATAATGGATCTGTAGGATCTGTGTAGTTCGGCTGATGCTGGAGCTCTCGGCTACAGCATGGTATCGTCCATGATAACACAATGATTGGCGGTTAACGCGACGGTAAGGGGGACGGGCACGATTTGTTCTACGGATGATATTTTTAGTGTTTGTTTATGGAACGCAGCACGAAACATTTATCGGACCCATAGGACCGAGTTTGACAACTCTCAAAATTTTGAAACAAGAAAAAAACTGTGAGAACTAACTATCATCAATCACTGTTACTTGCTTCGTAATGGAAACTTGTGTACTTAGTTGGTTGTGTATTATCGGTTTTCTGGAATGTATTGGATTGTTCTTCGATATTCTTGGCACGTTGCAGTTGTGGAAGCTGCACTGGAAGCGCTCGCAGTTGGAAGTCTGGAAAAAGGCAAGCAAAGGGTACAAGTTAAGATAATTCAATCAATCTCGTCGCTCTAATGAAATGTAAATAAATACGTCTATAGGTAGGTAGGTATATATATTTGTTCGAAAAACCGACGAAGCGGGGCGCGTGATCAACATTTCTGTGTTTATTCTTTTTTTATGGGGTGCAAATTAAAATACTTCAAAGAATTCGCCTTATTTTCTGTTGTCACGCGCCGCTGAAAGTAATAACCAAGTGCCAGCAATAAATTCTGGAAAACAGGAACTCGAGATATTTACAAAGAATAAAGGGACAGAAATCCAGACAAGGCAATTTATAAAGCCTAAAAGACTAAGAAAACCAAATCGTTTAATACTTTGAATAGTGAATTGGCAAAGATTAAGACAAGATTCGGATTCCAAAAAGGCTGATAAGACTTTTTATAAAGAAAATATTAAACTTTTAATAAGATTAGGGTACCAAGAAATCGGTGCTCTATTTTAAACCTTAAACCGTTTTATTTATCATACCAGTTTCTGTAGACATTTAGGATTAGCACACCGCGAAAAGAAACATCGCAAATTAACAAGAATGAATTAATCGACCTAGCTCGAATTTGCTAATAAATATTCAGGGTCAAAGTCGACTACATTGGCAAAGTTTTGCTTATCAGCCGGACACCTTGCGGTGATAACCACATAATACTAAATATACGTATGTACAGGTTTTGTTGCCACTTGATAACGTCGAGTTTTCAAGTGCGATAAAACGCACGAACGATCATTTTCACAAAACCAACAGACTTCTTTTCTGCTTTTGCCTTTTTTTGTGCCGAACAAACAATGTAATTTAGCAGCAATTTGGTTATCATTTCGCTGACTTTTGTCGTCGTTTGTTTTCGTTGTCTCGCCGGGGGCTTGGGGAGCAAATGAGTTCAGTTCATCAGCAAATAATTGAGATAAACACGATCACCGAAACCTTGGCCTCGAGCTTGAAAACCAAGTCGGTTCAGTCGGTTTGAGTGGGTTGAAGGAGGCGGAATCCACGAGGGAGGTCGAGGGTTCCACAATCGGAAAACCACCACTACCGCCACCACCCACCGCGAACCATTCGGTTCCACTCTAGAGATAAGTTTGGAAATGATATAACCAAATATTTGTGTGCTATAATACCGGCGAACAACGGCAACAGGTTGGAATTTTTTGATTTGCCATTCCTTATCACGGGCAACCATATATATTCGGCGATAAGATACAGAGAAATAGCTTTCGGGCGACAAAAAATTAAATCAGCCAGCTCAAATTGGGCTCGTAAAGGATCATGCGAGTGGCCAAAAGGCGATCATGTTGGAGATAACACAAAAGAGCCAGCTCACAATTAAAACTATAACAAAATAATTACACCAAATTTCGACATAATGATAATGATAGGGGCGAACACAGAGCTACAGCTCTCACTTTTCCGTCTGGCCAAAGTCAAAATAAAACACAAATTACCAAGCACATTTTTGCACTCGGCAAACAAACGGGGAAGTTATGCGAATTGAGATTTGCTATTCGGTTTTTGGTATTTGGCATTTTGTATTTTTTGTGTGTCTTTCCTCCTTTGCGAAATCTGTCCAAACAGCCAGTTGAAGTCGAAGTTAAAGCCGGCAGCAGGCCATAATTAGGGTCAATTGCGGCTAACCGCTGCCAATCGACGACAACGAAAGCTTTTGGCCAAATGAAGCGGCCGGGGAAAAAGTGCTACACTTCATTAGGCGCCATGACAAACGAAGAGAAGCGAAGAGTTGTGGCAGCGGAAAAAGTAAGGTTGTGGCTTTGGCTCTGGCTTCGATTTAATAGCAGCCTGCCCCACGATTACCTAAGGATCGCTTTCCGCCACGCCCCCGACGACAGTTGTCCAATTACGGACAGGTCTTTGTCAAATTATCTCGTTTTGAGCTATGAAATGAATACGTGTTATCTTCACAGCCAGTTGTGAAAGTTCCCATAAAACCTAATGAGTTGCAAAGTTAAATATTGTTGTAAAAAATAGTAAACATTAAACTTGGATCAACTTGGAGAAGAGTTCGCTGGGGAGAGAGAGTATACGCCACCGATGAGGAGGGAAATCCATTCCGTGGCCCACAAAACGGAGTTTAGCACGCTCCGCAAACTAAGTCAAGGCCCCCAAGCAACGATTTTTGGCTGTTGATGATGAGGAGGGGGGTTCCGATTTGGGTGAGCAAATCTATCGAGTCGAGAAAAACACTTAGACAGCCCCTTTTATTCGACTCTTTCAATGGGGCCATGCATAAATTTTCACATCACGTTCCAAACTATTTATCTCGTGTGGAAAACCACACCAGAGCATCAAAATATTTATGTTTTAATAGGAATGCCAGCCAAACAAAGGTCAGTTGTTGCCAAACATATGGAAAATAGATGATGAGCCCCACAACGGAATGCTGCAATCCGAAAAGACAGCAGTTCCACGAAGATTAAATGCCTTTAGAGCAGGTAGCAGCTGAATTAAATTTAAAAATCTAAAAAAGAAGAGCGTTTTTGGGTGCAAACAATTTAGAAAACGACCTCAATAACTTAGAAATATGTAGTCTACTTAGAGTTATAGAAACTCAACTGTAGTTTAAAGCACAATTTTCCCCAAATATTTACTCTATTAATCATTCGAAATGGAATCGATTTATTAAAATATTTGTTAGCATACCAGGCTCGCTTTTTGCCAAATTATTTGGCAGAGAGAAACCAATGAAATTAATTTCAGCACACCACTTATCTCCATTAGATTTTGATGGCGTTTGAGGCATTCTCCATCCAAATCGAATGTTGAACCGTTAAACGCCACAAGGTTTGAGTCAATAAACCGCTGCCGACTGCGGTGACTCTGTTGCTGTGCGAGAGATCAAGTTGCATTTTTATGGGGCCAAGGGTCGTCGTGGCCACCACCGTCATCATCTACACCATCTTCTTCATCATCATCATCGCATCTTCGCCTACGTAGGCGCGTGCCTGGAGAATTGTGTGCAATACACACTCCGTTCCAGCTGGGCCATTAAAGAGGCATAAATCTTGGTTATGAAATTGGAAATGATTTGCTCTGCAGACACGTTCAAGTAGGGAGCATATAATATAATGCCCCGAGAACTGATGCGTTCAGGAAGTATAGATCCCAAAAAAAGCGTTAATGAAAAGGAAAGTTGGTCAGCGGCACAAGAAAAAAATGCCACTTCATGCCCACTGCCGCCGTGTAGAAAGAAAAACAAAGACGCCGAGACGGCGAAAAGAAGCCAAGGCAGCCAAAGAAGAAGAAATTTCTATAAACAAAGAGATGAGGCGCAGAGCCAGAGCAAAATTATCAAAGAACAACAAAAACGAAAAAGCAAAGAAAGAAAAAAAAAGAAGTGGAAAATGGGACATGGCACACTCTTGGGCCCACAGAAACAACAAAGACTGAATGAAATTCATGTCGTTGTCGCGCTCATAAATTCTTCTACGCCTATATATCGCTGGCTATCTGAAAGATACACCCACACTCGGAAAAACTACCAACTCATTCAACCGGGGAGGTGCTGCCTGCATCCGCTCCATAGCTATACCTCTATGCCTATTTACAAATAAAGAAAAAATGAAAAAAGAATCTATGTAAATTTGTGTATTTTGAATAAATTCCAAGCCCATCGAAGGTGTGAGGCTTTATCGTACAGTCTTTTTTTCGAGACCCTAAAACAAGTGATTCACGCAACGAAATGGAAAGCGAGGAGAAATATACAAATCTCCTAAATAAATTCAAAGTCAGCGGAATGTTCGGCTGAAAGCATAAGATAAGCTTAATTAGCCGGCCAACGAATTTCACTTTCTTTCGGTACAGAACGGTCGTTTCTAAACTATTTCTGAATGTCCAACGATTACTGCGCCATTTAGGCATTTCGACTAATTGGCAGCCATTCCGATTTCGGGGGGTGGGAACGGGCTCACGTGCCGCCCATCGCCCATCGATCGGCAGAAAACTATCCGCCTTAAAAATAACCTGAACTTTAGGATCGCAGAGACCCAACTAGAACGACATCGAAAGTGGGTTTATTTTCAGCCTCAAGTGCAAGTCCCATTAGAAGATCGAACAAAACAAAACACTTGATGAATGCAGCTGAAGGAGGTGCAAAAACCAAACAAAATCAGCAGAAGGGTGCGGAGAATGAGCACAAATGGTTTTATTCTATTTTATTTATTTTTTTCCCCTCTATGCGGGCACACACAAATGAAAACAAATTAGCTTAGGCAGCATTAACAGCCGGCTGCGAAGGGCGGAAGTACGGGGGAGTTTATTGTTAATTTCATAAACACCACGAAAGACCACATCGAAAAAGAAAAGCACCACAAAAATGCAGCAGTAGCAAGTAGCAGCAACCACCAAACCGGCAAAATCCCAATAGGGCAGCTGCATTTCAGTGTGAAACCCAAGTGGAAGATGCATTCGTATTGGGAGCTATAGCTTCTCGATCCGTTATAATGAACCGATGAACATCTGTCGCAGTTTTACGTGGAAAACTGTCTTTCCGCTGAATCGGAAAAAAGGGAGAAACTCGGAGAGCGAGAGATGGGAAAACACACAACATCGGAAGCATCTTCCTCATAAGTTGCAAATGTGTTTGTGTTATTTTTACATTTCCGCTGCTTACGAAAATATTTACGCTCCCCTTCGCACCAGACCTTCCCCATTACGAATTTAAAATTGAAAATTCCAGACGCTCGCACACACGCACGTGTTAGAGATGAGCCAGATTTTGAGTGCATCGAATGGTGACAACAGGTTCGATTGATGTGAATATGTAAATGGTAAAAAATACCCTAAGGGTGTAATTGCAGCTGTTGACTTTTTAGGAAAAACAGATGCAATATGTACTTTTAAAATTAGATCGTATGATGTTTAAAAGAGATTTGGATATATGCCTCGTTTACTTCAATAATTTTTTTATTTGAGTATTAACAAATTAATCAACCTTTTTTAAACGGACGGTTGAACTTTGAAATCTGGAGCTTGATTAAACGAAGGTACAAATATATTTTTAAAAAAATTCCAAAATTGGTCTCTTAAAATAAGATGAAATGAAGGTAATACTGCTATTAAAACTACAAGCTTGATTCTAAGTTAAAACTCAATTAAACATTACCAGACAACATATATTTTATTTAAAACTCCCTCAGAAACATAGGAACTAATACCTTTCCCCACAAGCTAAGCTCGTTTTCTGAGATGCAGCGAAAGCAGCGGGTGGAAACTTTTGGCAGGCAGTGTGCGAAAGCTAAGGTCAGGCCCCCATCTCTAGGTTGCTTCCGCACACACACACACTCACACACTGACACGGAAATGCCACCGATAACAGTTGCTGTCAGCAAAGCTAATCCACTAATTCTGGGCTTTAACCGATTCCTGCTAATACTATTTATTTACCCGTTTGGTTTTGGCGACTGCTCTCTCGGTTTTGCTCTCTCCTTTCTGTTCTTATTGCCGTGTGGCCATAATCCAATTATGTGTGTATGTGTCTGCTCTCTATTGCAATTGCAGTTATTCGCATTCGCCGTGGTATGCAACCCACACACTGCCACTCGCGCACTCACACGCACTCGCAGACATTCAGTTGCAAACACCGAAAATCCTGAGCGTCAACAAAATAAATATAGCTCGGCGTTTTAAAATAGGTTTTCACTTGATTCTGCGTTGGCCGTCTCGTCTTGTTTATGTGCACTCGATGGCTGTGTTGTGTGTACTTGTTTTCTTGTTAGACGCGACTGTCCATTCAACATTTCTCCGCCGACGCAGGGCGACACTTCTTTGTTTTATTGGATTCACATTGGCCTTAACCGATTATCTAGTCTGGAATGGAGCACAAGACTTGATGGTTTATTTATGTCTGCACTCGCGAAAAAGCGTCCACAAATTAACTGTTTTTCGGGAGCGACGCGCAGCCAACGTCCGCTTTTGTTTTTCGTCTCGATTAGAGTGACCGTCGGGCGATGTGCACTGTATAATGTGGACAGTTTTTGTATGGCCGATAACGCCGAAATATTCATTTTGGTATTATACGGTATTTTTATCGCGGTATTTTTTAGACCGGTCACACGGCGGTAGGTGTCCCCGCTAGGCCTATCCGCGGCACTCTCGCAGGGAAAGAAAATATCACGATATAAATATTTATTTTTATTCAAAAAAAAATCCATTTATTGATATTATCATGTTTAAAATTTAACAGAAAATTTCAGCAATGGACAACAATTTATTCTGATGCATTTTCAACCCGTTGTGATCAGTTGTCAGTATTTTCGGACTTCTAAAGGCGTATTATCAAAACAAGTCCCATTAAAAAATATATATTAATATATGAACGAGACAAACATTGTCGTGAATAAGCCCAGCATAAATCCCTTCGTTCAACTGCACGTTTAAAATCACAATTTTCTACAGATGGCGGGAGAGGCTTTAAGGTGACCGTTCAGCGATAGATGTTTTATCATGGACACCAACCGCGGACGATACCGTTGGCGTTCGATATATCGATATTTATGCCCAATTAGTTAATTTTAATTTAAACTTATATAACAAGTTTTTATGTTTTATTTAACAATTAAATGCGACTACTTTTTCTTGATGTACTTCATGTACTTCTTGGCATTGAAGTTGTCCTCCACTTCCTCCATGATCTTGACCTTCTTGCGCGGCTTTCGGGCCTCCAGACGAGCTCTCCGCTCGGCGTCGGTTAAAGTGCTCAGATCCAAGGGAAGCTGACAAGTAAACATGTTAATTATACTTCATATGAAATGTTTTGCTATCCTTGTTACCTTGATAATCTTCCTCGGCTCGTGATAGCGTATGTTTATCGTGGATCCATCGGGCTGAACAACGACAGTGGGATATAGCCGGCAGTAAACAGAGCGATGCAGTCTGGTTACCGCGGTTGTGGCCGAGGAAATGCAGCGAATTTGCTGAACCGCCTGCGGCAACTGTTTCAGCAGCATTTTAATTGATAATCGCAATATTTACACACTTTAAACTAAATAAAACACGAGCTGTTTTTTTATTGCCTAACAGCTGATAAAGTGACCAATATTTGTAAGAGGTTTAAATACTTGCTAAAAAGTTATCGAAAAAGCTGCAGCCCTGGTATAGTTAGAAAATTACTTGGTATTCCCACCAGCTGTGGTCACACTCGTACTCAAAGTGTAAGTGTTGGTGCTGGGTCAGAAATTCATATTTTCTCTTTAAAAAATAAGTACGTTGCTTAAAAAGGTGCTTAAAAATATTAAATCAAGGTGGTCTGCCAGGCGAAGCAAGTGATTTATCTAAAGACCTTGAAGAGAAGAGTAGAAAATGGTTATTTGCGCCGGAGAACCCAGTGAAAGTACTGCGGTTAAGAAAAATTACATAATTTTTGCAGGCATAATTTTCCGTGTGTTATGCCAGGGGAATATAGCAAAGAACCATCAATTGTTGAATAATCCAGGCACCCTAACTAAACCAAGTGCTGGGGACACCTCCAAAAAGCTTTACCACTTTCTGCCAGCAAAGACCTAACCTCATCCGCCTTTGTTGTTGTCTTCCAGTTCTTGTGCAGAATGGCCGCCCGCCGCATCGCCCAATCCTCGGTTAACTGGTCCGCTCTCGCCGAGCGTGTGCCCGCCAATCAGAAGAGCAGCTTCGGCGCCTTCAAGACCAAGTCGGACATCTATGTGCGCGCCGTTTTGGCCAATCCCGAGTGCCCGCCCCAGATCGACTGGGCCAACTACAAGAAGCTGATCCCGGTGGCCGGACTTGTGGACTCCTTCCAGAAGCAGTACGATGCCCTGAAGGTGCCCTATCCCCAGGACAAGGTGTCGCCCCAGGTGGATGCCGAGATCAAGGCCTCCCAGAGCGAGATCGATGCCTACAAGAAGGCCTCCGAGCAGCGCATCCAGAACTACCAGAAGGAGATTGCCCATCTCAAGTCGCTGCTGCCCTACGAACAGATGACCATGGAGGACTACCGCGACGCATTCCCCGAGAACTCTCTGGACCCCATCAACAAGCCCACCTTCTGGCCCCACACCCCCGAGGAGCAGGTCGGCTACAAGTCCAAGGAGCAGCTGGAGGCCGAGGCCCAGGGACACCATTAAGCATCCTCTGGAGGGAGGACTCCGTCGCTTGGCAGTCGTTGGTCATCCGTTGATTCGAAATGTAAACCACGTTGAAGTAAATTACCCAAATTAAATTCATTTCAAATGAAGGTGGATGGCTTATTTAGGGATGTCATTGGCTGTTTTTAGACGGTGTCATTTAGTCAGTCAGAAAATGAAATATTTTTGATCCCATAGGATAATTTTATTCAGAAGCATCGATTTTATATAAATCTTATGACTAGCTGGGCAAAGAAACAGAAAGGAAAACTAATAAGAAAATAATAGGAAAAACGAAATAAGTAGTTTTTTTGAAAGAAAAATCTTGAATAATTGTATGTATTTTATTGTTTAATTAATTATTTTAAATCTGCCAGGATCTGCAAACCATTTTTTTTTTAAATTCAAATAAATGTTATATTCAAGGTGGTTGTTCTTGATAGAGGAGTCTCTACTCAGCTTGGAGGTGGCACTCGCTAACTGCAAAGGCGCCCTCAGGTGGGCGGTGGCAGAGCTCCATCAAATGTAATTGTACAACATTGCCACCTTGTCAGATTTAGTTTATCACACAACCACACTTTGGTTTGAGTCCGAACTTTTAGTATATTTATTCTGGATTTTCACGATCATCCGTATCGCCTTAGTATATTATTTAACGGCCGGCTGGCATTATTCAAAAGTCCCATCACAGCCACTCTGTTCTTCTCCTTCAGAGAGAATTCAAGCAGTGCTCTCTTCTGGCTCACGAAAGTCCGTTAAGAAAGCTTTTAACCGCCGCTCAAATCTCGTTTCCTCTTCGCCGCTCACCTGAGCGCACCTTTAGCGAAGCAAAAGCCGCAGCGCGTCTTAACTTGTCTCGGAGGTGCACATTCGTGATCGGGGTCCGCAAATGCCGCACGATCAGTCGCGAGCGAATCGAGTTGGAGTGCAAACGTCTCAAGCGGAATCTCAAGTTGTAGCGCTAAACGCAGCGATCGGAGTGTACCTATCTATACATCGGTGTATCGCTGAAATACAAAGTTGAACCAAGTTGGAATTTGCCACCAATCGAAATAAATCTCGAATCGAATTAATATCCGCCATTTGCATAGGGCGCATCTAAAGAGGCGCGCGCTTCTCTGTCAGTTAACCCACTTTCTAAACGACCAAAACCAAACCAAACCACAAAAAAGAATAATACTGCGACCGATATTCAGCAACAACGAAACCAATTAACAAGCAAATAATGCCGAGCAAATAACACCGAAAAACGTGCAAGTGATTCATGGTTTTTTTTCTTCCAAGTGAAGTGCTTAGGTAAATCGAAACATACATAGCTTAAAAAAGAGCTGACTGCAAAACGCACTGGAAGCGATAACGATACCTGGAACGCCCCCTCCTGCCAACGACTGTCAGTCAGTTGAAACCGCAACTGCAGCAGCCTCATCTACTCGGCCAGAAACTGCAACAGCAACAACATAGAGTACGGATTGCAAACAGCACGGGTAAGTTACACCATCGTACATCATCGCACAAAAACAACAAGATCTTCAATAATGGGGGTTCATAGCTCGCAGGGAGCCTTTTGCTTTTTTGTTGCCTTTTTTCCTATGCATTGCATTTCCCATTCCCTTTTTACTCGGTCTGCAAACGGGTTAACAAGCTGCGGCTAATACTGACGATCAATAGGCCTGCAAAAATGCAACAGCCAAGGCGAGTTAGAATGCATTTCTTGGGTTTTGCAACTAAACAATACCTTGGATTTCTTTGAATCGATCGTGAACGATCGTGTAACCTGATCAATAAATATGTAAGTTTTCTAAAAACTGCAATAATAACTCGGAATATGACTTCATAATAAAAAAAAAACAAAAATGTACAAATATTTCATAACCATTAATTTTACTTATGCATTATCTCATAAACTTACTGTAAGTAATGGGCTGCTTCGAACAATATTTTAATCCGATTAGAAAAGTGAACATTACTGTGCTTAAAAATGGTTCGGAAGAGGTTTAAGCGGCTCCCAAAAAAGACAAAAAATCTTAATCCAAATGATATTTTTTCCAAATCGGGGGATCAATACCTCCGAAAACGGAATACCCTTGAAAAGTGCGTGTGCAGGGCAGCATAATCAATTCCTTGGAGTCCTCCTGTTTAAGGGGCATTCCATATTTCATAATCCGCTGTCTGGCAGCATAACTTTTAGCACCTTTGAGCACCCTCTCAGCTTCGCATTTCGCCAATGCAAAAACACACACACACTCATAGCACTCGGGGGGGCTATAATTTCTTTGGATAATTATTACTCGTCTGGCATATTTTTTTTAGCTGGCTTTTTAAAACTGTTTTGACCGGCGCTGACTCTGTGAAATTTTTGCGTTAAAGCCACAATTTTTGTTTTGTTGCTTTTTGTGCGCTCGTTTGCATAAACACCTAGCGGATAATTCGGAACGTATTTTACTTAATTTAAATAACTGAGCTTAGGAAATTTCTGCCAACTTTCCTTTGGGCAACGCAACGATAAAAAAATTGCAGCGGAAATGTGTACAAAAACAAACATATTTATGTCATTCGATCTGCCCCCTACTTATTTTTCGGCAATATTTCTGTAAACGTGTTTGGTTTCAGTTATAATATAAATATGAGTTGCCTGGGAAGTCTTAGGAATGTAAATCGGTAATTCGAGAGGCTTTAGGTAACGAAAGCTTTGACTGATCTGGTCTGGTAAGTGACAAAGCCTCTGGTTAGATGACTCAAATGCGCTATAGATCGCAATACTGGAATTCACAAATGACTCAATGTTCTGGCAAGAGAAAGCATTTGGATATTTAAATTTTTGGTGTTTCCGTTTACTTTGATATTTTTAGAAAACATGATTTATAAGGGTTGTTTTCTATCTTGAACCGAAGAGGATTTTTTTTTGTAATTGGAGATAGTTTTAAATGTTTGCAGATTGTGTTTTAAATAAAAAAGTTAAACTTTAAATTTTGACTAATTTATTTTTAATTTTAGGCGATCATGAGTAATTTGGTTTTAATGTTCTGACGACAAGGCTAATATAGGGTTATTGTTGTTGTCATCATTATTTAATTACAAACTAATTAAATAGAAGAAACTAGCAATATTTAATACCAAAAAGTAAAAATGGGTTTACAAAAAAATGGTTTTTATGATGTTTTTCAGAAGCTCATTTGATGTTGTTTTCTCAATGGCCCAGCACATAAGGCGTCCTATTTGCCCCATGGCATCCACTTCTTCTGGATGTTGTTTGTCCGTCGCCATTCGAGACGTAACTCAAAGCCAATTGCCATGAATGAAATTCGCATTTCATTACATGCCGTCGACGCCTGAACGCGACGCAGTCGGTGGCCGGTTTTTGTGTGGTTTTCCACAGGCAACGACAATAGCTACGCACGTTCGGCGAAAACAAAAAAGAAATTGTCAATAAAGTGCAAAAGGAGACGGCCAGGGGCTGGGCAAGAAAAAAAAAGGCGAAAAAAAATGAGGTAGAAATTGCACAGAGAAACGTGTTGCAGCGCCACGGGGGCTTGTTGGCCCATCCCATCCCATTCCGAACCCGAATCGAGTGCAATCGTGATACAAAGCGACCGCCTGTAAATTCGTATTAACTATCCGCTAGATACCCGTACTTTCACAAAAACTCGTTCGGACCAATGGCACAAATATGAGCATTTTATATACTGCAGTTTTATTTTTTCGTTTTATGCAATTTTTGAGATTTTTTTTTCCAGCATGGCGCGTAGTTGCTTTATTAGCAACGTGCCAAACGCAAACAAACCAAGACAAGAAGTAAGGCAAACAAAAAGGCAAATCAACTGAGCAAACAAGAAGTTTGTAAAGGGAAAACTGCATTTTGGCACGAACTTTCGGGGAGGGGGTGCGAAGGGGGTGGGTTACGCAGTGGGTTTAAACTTTAAA